ATGCACACTAGGTGTTTGATAAAAGTTCTAAACCAATAAATTGTGATTTATCCTTTATATTTTGATTGTTTATGACTATGGTGTACAACATAGAAGTATGATAAATTTAGTTTATGCTCGCAATTAACGTTGAAGTCTAAACTATGAACATTAAAGGATAAACATATATAGTACCGAGAATAGAAATATATCCGGTCTTATATGATACGGGTGTGATGTCTTGATATTCAACGGGGTTTTCGGTAGATGAATGTAAGCCGTAACGGGACTTACACGTAACGAAAACCACGCTCTCGCTGCCTTAACCGGAGTTGAGAATATATTAGCGACATCGTATTCATAATTATTGGGAAAGAACTATTATTAAATAACTATTAAAGCATTTAGGTGAATCCCGATTGCCTTAGTAATTCTCATTCTTGTTTAAACTAATCTCAAAGAGCAAAGTTCCTGAAAAAAATATATCATTTACATTCTTTGCATTCAATACTCAACTTTATAATATCAACCATTTCCCTGTGGATCGACCCGGTATTTACCGGTATTTTATTACTACATCGGCACTTGTATACTTGCAAGTTTAGCCCGATCAAGTTTTTGGCGCCGTTGCCGGGGAAATGGTCTTGTTTTATAAAGTTCACAAACCTCAATTTTTTTTCTCACTTTTTAATGTAGTAGTGTTAGTGTATTTAAAAAAAAATGTGTGATCATACTCATAAAAGTTCAAGGATCTTGGTAAAACTTTGGTCCCGAAGTTGAAAGAGTGTGCAAACACAAACAAAAAAAAGAAAAAAAAATCTTTCACTAAATGAGATCAAGATGCCCGTTGTTGCCTATAATCCACATTTTCAAGCTAGAGACATAAAGTTCTCTAGAGTGAAGGAAATATCTATCGGTGATGTGCTTGATAGAAGATTCTTGGAGTTTGAACGAACACTGAAAGAAAGCCTACAAACCGCCTTAGGAAACATTCTTCCTACACGAGAGTATGCTATTCAACCCGAGGATATCAATTACATGAACTCCTATGACGAGTGGGAGAATCATGAAAGTAATAACTACTACAACTCTTCTAATCAACAAAAGGGGAACCAAGACAACAATTGGAAACCGCAAGGGAGTTCTTCAAACTTTCAGTCCACCATGGAAGAGATGATGACGTTTCTTACCACAAGTATTCAAGCTGAAAATGAAAAACATTATAGTAGAATGGAGGCATCCGTTGAGAATCTCCATTCTCAATTTACCAAACTTGACATCCGAATTGAAAATCAAAACACAATTCTTAATCAAAGGATGGACAACCTCGAGCGAGATACCAAAAGCTCCTTCCACACTCTACAATTGCAGATTGACCAACTTGCTCAACAAGTTACTATAGCAGGAAGTACCATGGTCATCACAACGGAAAGCAAAAGAGGAAAGGAGGTTCCCAAAGTTCCGGAGAGCAAGAAGACCTCAGATGTACACGATGGGACTAGAAATCTATTTGTGGGAGATAAAAACGACATATTTCATGTGTGGAGAGTACAACCCACTTTAGAGAATTTCTTGAAGTCGGAAGCTAATGTTCTCACGCCTCCAAATGGTAGAGGAGACCTCTTTTCCATTCAAGAAGTAAACGTCAACAAGAAAGGAGGACATAATCGGGACACGCCAAAAAGGTACATTTTTTACCCGGGTGATACTCTTCTCAATATTGAAAATAATAGCTTCGCATCCTCCCCTCCCCCGCAAGATTTTAAAAGAGAGGTCCTACTAGCTAAACACCTCCGGGAATTCAGCTGCACAAAAGAGGTACGTTCGTCCGGCCTATGACGTTAAACTAAGCGCTAATTGGGAGGCAACCCAACAAAAAAAAAACAAAAAAAAACAAAAAAAAAAAGCACAAAAAAAAAATCATCTAAACTCATGTGTCATGCAACTCCTACTCTCACAAGACGGTCCATTCCGCTATTGAAGTTTTCGTCCTCCATTGTATCCAAAAATGTACATTGAGGACAATGTATCTCAAGTGTGGGGGGTGCATCTCATGGTTAGTTAAACAAATTTTGTGTGCAAAATAATTTTTTTTTAGGAAGGTAAAACTTGTGATAATTCTCTTTTTAATGGGTATTTGGTTGAGAAAGTTTTGATTATTCACATAAACTATCATTTTTTTTAGATTTATTACACTACTCTTTACTCTTGAAAACAACCCAAAAAAAAAAAAAACTTGTGACTAGGAACACCACCTTCTTTCATTTCCAAAAAATGGTTTAAGAACATCTCAAATATTCAAGAACCATTTTGGAAAACAAGCCACCCCATATCTCATCAAATAAATTGGGATCATCAAAATGACTTTGAGTAAATACTTGTTGAGAATCCATTCGGATGAAATAAAAAAAAACTCATGGTCTCTTCCAAGAATTTCAACCGATCCATTTATATACTCAAAAGTCAAATACACAAAAAAAGCCATCCTACACACCCAAAAAGTCCCAGTCACAATCCACTCATCTACTCTCAAGGGTATAAGTAATTTTTCTAAATCTAATGATAGTTTTGTGTGTCTAATAGAAATTTGGTTTTGGACCGAAAAAGATAAAAGAGTTTACATGAGTTTTTACCTCTCTTAAAATTAAAATTATTTTTGTTCATATATTTTTGTTGAAACTAACCAAGGCATCCGAAGGTGAAGAAATTGCTCGAGGACGAGCAATGCTCAAGTGTGGGGGGATTTGATAGCCGTTATATTTACTTGTGTTTAACATAAGTATTTATAAGTATTTGTTGAAGAAAGGAAGAGAAATCGGGCAAATACCTTCAGAATGAGAGCTAGAGCATAAAACATTGCGATGAACGACTTTTTAGACCAAGAGAATGACGTTCTGCCCATAATTTGAGTATAGCGTATTCTATAGAACTCGAAATCACTCGATTCGAGTTTCATGTGAATGCTAACTCAATAAGGAACAAATGTTATGAAGACGTCATGGCCAAAATATGAAAGGAACAAGACTCAATCAACCAACAAAGTCAGATGTTGCTGGTGGGATTTCAGGATGCATACCTCTCAGTGTTTTAGCCATAACGTTTGATTGGATGAATAAAATCATGTCATTCAGGTTTTGGTGGATATAAGACTTCATTAGCTACAACTTTGGTGAAGGAATCATGTCCAAATTCGTAGAGGAACATCTCCAAAATGTCGGGACAAAACCCGACACTTTTTGATCCATTTCAGAAGAAGAAAAATGAAGTGTATTGTTGGGCGCAGCAACCGGCGCCGGTTAGTCAAGAACCGGCGCCGGTCGGAAGGTTTTTTCACGCAAAAATGAGGCTGTTTTGAACCGGGGCCGGTCGGAACATAACCGGCGCCGGTTGGGACGATTTTCTGCTAAAACACAGCAACGTGCAAGTAATTCTTGATGGGAAAACTTCATCTTCCTCCATATCTGATCAAATATTGCTTCCACACCCGATTGTTGGGCTTGAATAGACTAAAAGATGCCTTTCTTTAGCCTATATAAAGCCCTCAATTCATCAAGCAAACACATTCCATTCCATAGATTAAATCATAGCTTTTATATTTTTGTTCTTGGTATTTTCTTCAAGTTCTTGAGGAGGAAACTTCAACCTCCGAAATCATTGGTGTTTAGGTATTATTTCCTTTGTAATTTCATGTTCCATTACATTTCAATATTGTATTGTGATTAATATGAGCATTAGAGGCTAATTTCTTAGCTAAGCCTAGGGATGAACCTCTATGCACACTAGGTGTTTGATAAAAGTTCTAAACCAATAAATTGTGATTTATCCTTTATATTTTGATTGTTTATGACTATGGTGTACAACATAGAAGTATGATAAATTTAGTTTATGCTCGCAATTAACGTTGAAGTCTAAACTATGAACATTAAAGGATAAACATATATAGTACCGAGAATAGAAATATATCCGGTCTTATATGATACGGGTGTGATGTCTTGATATTCAACGGGGTTTTCGGTAGATGAATGTAAGCCGTAACGGGACTTACACGTAACGAAAACCACGCTCTCGCTGCCTTAACCGGAGTTGAGAATATATTAGCGACATCGTATTCATAATTATTGGGAAAGAACTATTATTAAATAACTATTAAAGCATTTAGGTGAATCCCGATTGCCTTAGTAATTCTCATTCTTGTTTAAACTAATCTCAAAGAGCAAAGTTCCTGAAAAAAATATATCATTTACATTCTTTGCATTCAATACTCAACTTTATAATATCAACCATTTCCCTGTGGATCGACCCGGTATTTACCGGTATTTTATTACTACATCGGCACTTGTATACTTGCAAGTTTAGCCCGATCAAGTATAAACTAGCAGCAGCAAATGCCTTAGCAAGCTTTGAACCCCCGGTTGGAAATCCATCTATAATCTTGCACATCTACAAAAAAAATCAAACTTAAAAGCAGCTTCTGATGAAGTTTTTTTGCCAACACATATGAGTATATTATCATATATTTAAGAATAATATATGAACCTTTTCCACTGGGTATGCAGGCAATGGCATGATAAAATCGGCCTCAGTTGGGTAGTTCACCATAGCTGTATACACAAATGTTGTTGTAAGCCAATCCTCAGCTGAAGTCACATATTCGAGACTCCTGTTTTTCAACAAGTGTTTTAGTTTATTTATGAAATTCTCGAAGGATGAGTACTCATTCGACCGAAATTTGAAAAGTAAACTTTTTTATTGTGTAAAAGCCAAGTGTTTGATTTTATCATATCTATGTGTAGTTCTAGTAGTCAAGTGTTTAAGCATATGATATCCTTTCTCATTCATGAAAGTTACTTGCAAGGTTTGAAAATCTTTGTGGACTGAGCTGTTGAAAGACCGGCTAACTCTGACCAACATCCCTTTATCACTTTGTAACAATTCAAGCTTGCATCCTATTAAAAAATTATATCATCCAAACAACACACAAATAGATAATTAAATGTTCATGTATGAAAACTATACTTTGTTGTATTAAGTGTTATGTAGTCTAGAAAGGTGAGCGATTCCCATATTCGGTGATACCTTTGAGCTACGAAAGCTTGGTCACACTAGCTCGGTGTGACTACATTGTATTATAAGCATTTCGGGTTTCATCTTAAAAGATCATGTAATAGGATGAGCAGTCGCAACATCTTATATGTGAGTTAAGATCTATATATATACAGTAAGATCTATATGTGAGTTAACATCTTTTCTTGGAGTTGTTTTCCCATGAATTCAATTGAAATGAAAGCACCATACTAATGACGATGAACAAGATAATGACTGTCACAGTTGAACTATGCCTTTCCCTCTATTAGATTTTATGTATAAATAAAAGTGGGATACATATAGAGTCATTATTTTATAAATTTATGTTTCTAGGCAAACCTTGAAGTCCTGAGAAATTGCATCATAGAAGCTTGACCATGGAGTGATGTTATCAAATTGCAATATTGGCGCTGAAGACGCTAATGCACCTATGGCTAATGGGGATATTTGAGTCTTAACCAAGCTGCTAACACTGAGATGAATACATATCTCATTTAACACATTAGATTGTTAGAATATACTTGCACTACATACTCCATGTTCAATAGTAAATTAAAATGTCTTTATTTTTATGTTACTTGTATATCGCCCATACAGGAAAGGCCTAACATATCTCCGCAAAACGGAATCACACTAGAGAAAATAAAAAATCTCTCTATTCCTAAAAGTCTAATCAAACTGAATAATGGATTCAGGTCTTGTACAATAATTTGCATCTTTAAAATCACTTGAGAGATGCCAGAAATTTGATCGGAATGACCATAATGGGCAAGAAACAATAGCGATGTGCCAAAAGTGAGCAAAGTCAAAGACATGTATGGAACCTAACCTAAATAAGATTGATGTGATACTCGTAAGGCCAAAAGTGAAATATTTTCCTAAAAACAATTGTTTCTTTTAAGTAGGCGTGTGGGAAGAGGGACATTAATTAGGTGTATCATACTCGTAGTGCCCTACAGAGTTTTCTGTATACAGAAAACTCTTTCTGCCAAAGGTGTACACAAAAAAAGTGTAAACCAAACATTTTTCTAATTAGGAATGGATTATTGCGCTTACTGCCACCAAACACCACAACAGGAGAAGCTTCTGAAGACAGATTTTGCTTCAAACTCCTTATAAGAATTGCATAATCAGCCAAGGCCTGCTGTGAGTTCAAGTACCATAATGTCTTTGCTGACTTGTATGAGTTTTTCCCAAATGGCAGTGATTCTCCATAACATATATGCTGCATATTATAAGAAGCATTACTTTCACAGTTTCATCAGAAGGTACTTTTGCAGTACTTATCACTTTAATAAGAGACTGATTAGAACACCCACAAACTATAACCCCTTTCATTCCAAAGGTTAAGTTCTGACCTTTTAAAAAAAATATTGTGCAACAACTAATAGAGGACTTTTTTATGTGTCATGTTTTATTGTATTTATGAACTTAAATATTCTCAAAGATTCAAAAGAAAACATTTTTCCAAATAAAGAAATCTATACAGTTACTCTGACTCATATGATATTGAGTTTTAGAAACATATCATACTTCAATAAAGACTAAAAGAGCATGACATTTTGGAGCAATATCAAGCAAGAAGCCGGTATTTGCAGCAAACCAATCAATATCTCCTTCATTGCCAGTGTACACAAAGATTGGTTCTCCCTTATGCCAATAGTCCTTGTTGATTAGGTACTTCTGGTAGAAGATTTTGTAGCCTCTGGGTACAAAAGTGAAGTGGTCAAGAGTTTGGGGGAAGTACTTGACTTCATATTGAAACTTTGGGTCAGAAGGCTGGGCTTGGTTCTTCACTACTAAAGCTTGGTAGCTTCCTGGGAAATAGGCTGCCTTTGGTTCTCCCAGTGCTGAGAAAATAGCAAAGTTAAATAAGATAGAGAGAACAGAAAGAAATGAAAGAGTCCATTATTCCCTATATTACTTGTTTCTGTGTGTAGTTTTGGAAGTGCAGATTATATATATTGAGAAGGAAATGGCAGATAAGTGGGAAGCAGTTCAGTTCAACTGTTTGTCGACTTACTCACCTATAGAATTGAAGTCTCGGGTTCGAAACTTCATGGAGGAGAGGGGTAGATGTCACGCCCCGGACCTTCCCGGACACGTCAACAACCCGCCGTACAGTACGAATAGTCAACCGCAGTCCAACTCATCCATACTATACAAGGCGTCTTGAATACCATTCACATTAGTACATCCATAAACAATCACAATGTAAATCATTTAATTAAGCAGCGGAAATATTAATACAAGCATTCGAGCCACACGTGGCAAACACGGGCGTGCAAGCCCTAAATAATTATTCGGAAAATAGTATCCATGAGCATTAATTTGAATGTTTTAAAACAGAAACGGAGGAAGCACGAACCACGTCTCCTCTCCTTGATAATCCGCCCGAAGCAACGGTGATGGTAGCACCCTTCAAGTTCTACCTGAAACTGTGAGGTGGCCTCCCCCGTGAAGGGGAGGTCAGTACTTGGAAGCATTTGACAAGTACAATGACAACTATACTAAGTATAATCAAAGTTTCAATTTCCAAGACCCTCAATCTAGGATGTTATTATATTATAGGTCATAACCCGTGGTTACCCTCTTTTGAAAGTATACTTACTTTATATATATAGTCAAGTAATCGCCCGAAGGCCCATGTTTACTTTGGAAACATTTAACCCCTTCCCCGTGACTTCAAGCCACACCCATCTATATTAGTTTACCATGCTAGAGGCTTCCTCTAGTCATGTTTTGTCGTGCTAGAGGCTGACTCTAGTCACTCCACTTGGTGTTAGAGGCTTCCTCTAATCACCTTACATACGTTGTGCTGGAGGCTTCCTCCAGTCACATTACGTTACGCTAGAGGCTTCCTCTAGTCGTCCTACACGAATGCTGGAGGCTTCCTCCAGTCATTCTTCATCGTGCTCGAGGCTTCCTCTAGTCACGATACTAATTCACTAAGCAATCTCTATGCCTAGAGTTCCTCTACTATGGGTAACCTTCATGATCCACTCCTACGGTAACTTAGCGTTTACTCATTTCTACCTTAAGACATTTCATATGACTACTTAAGGTACATCATTCACAATCCAAACCCCTAGGATTTGTTCTATCACTTTTCATGCTAACATCCCCGGCTAGTATTTCTATACTAGTCATTTAACCTTAATAAGCCAATGCAATTTCATAGTAATTTGGCTATTTCAATTTAATTCCACATTCAAGTATAACTTGGTTCTAATATCAAAATATCACTTTTATCCTTCCATGACTTCCTTACATGAGGTAAAAGTATATTTATCACAATTCATTTATAGTTTGCACGCTATTATACCATTGTATTCATAATACATAATCATACACAATTTATTCATAAATTTGTATATTATGCACTTTTACTCATAAACAATAATAATCTCATTTAGGCATTTTGTTATATTATAAATAAATCATGCCAAACACATATAATTCATTTAGGTAATCTTATGAAATTAACCCAATAATTATAAGCAATATAGTCGGTCATCCTCACCTTAAGTGAGCTTAAGCGTGTTCTACGCTCCGCGGTTGAACTTTGACTATTTCCGGTGAACTTTGACCAACTCCGGCCAACTTTGACCAACTCCGGCGAAACTCCGGCGAAGCTCAAAGATACTCTAAATCAAGTTCCTAACAAGGTTTTAACATCATAAAACCTTAATCAATACACATAACCCTTAAAAGGTTATTTTCCGGTGAACTTGTCGGTTTGGTCTCTATGTCCGTTTTTTGGGCATAGAACCACTCTCCAACCCATTATTCTACACCCTTAGCATGTAGAACAACCTCAAGGGTGCTCCATATGATATGTATCTCATATGATAGAAGGAAAAAAAAAGGAGAAGTTATGATAGGGTCATTACCTTAACTTTCACACCTTTAGCTAGTTTTTTCCTCCTTTAACTTCCTATCAACTTTCTTGTTTGAGCTTGGCTTGAGTTTGGCTATGAAAGATGAAGTTGCAGAGCTTCTTTCCTCCTTTTCCTTAGTGTTGGCCGAATGAGTGAGGAGGGGGAGGAGTAGGAATGCTCATTTGTCTCAATTGAGTAATGAGTGAAGGAAAGGAGGGCCACCATGATTTGTTTTGATGCCAAACATCTCAAATCAGCTCTCTCTCCCACCTCCCTCTCATATCAGCCGACCCATGCCTTGAAAAATGTGGCTAAATTCGTGGGTTGGCCCCCACCCATGTGGGAGGTCAACCCTTTTTGTCCCGAAGTGTACATTTTGTCCCGAAAGTTGTATTTTTCGGACAGTTTTAAATATATTTTATTTTATCGGGTCAAATAAGATATATTACATGTTCCCAATCATTATGACCCTTAAAATGAATATACATTTCCCAACTTAAATTTATAGGTCTCCGAAATCCAATTTCGGGCTTTTATCGGTTAGATTGCCAATACCGGTATTTGGGCCTCTTTTGACCAATCGGTCAACTCAAGACCTTTCCATGGTTCAAAAGAATTATCCACCCCCATATAAATATTATCTAGACCAAGATGAATAATTTATGTGGTCCCGGGAATATCGGGCGGCCCCCGCTCCCGGTGCGGGCCCCACGCGCGAACTTACTATTCGCGCAAAAATTAATAAAAATTCATAACCTCGTAAATCCGTCAACCATTCCATAAGGTCAAAATACAATATTCACTTTAAAAGTAAATACATTTGGGGACGGTGTTACAAGTTCACCCCCCCTTATTTGGGATTTCGTCCCCGAAATCCACGTGTCTAATCGAAGAGAAAAGGGTATTGCTCTCTCATTGAGACCTCAGTCTCCCATGTTTCTTCCTCGACCCGATCACTCCTCCAAAGGACTTTTACCATAGGAATATCCTTGTTCCTCAATTTCTTCACCTGTTGACCCACAACCTTTACCGGTTCCACTGCATATTGTAGATCTTCACGTATCTCCACCGGTGGCTTCTCAAGAATATGAGATGGATCTCTCACGTATTTCTTGAGCATCGATACATGAAACACGTCGTGTATCTTCTCAAGTTCCGGCGTCAGCTTGAGACGGTAAGCCACCGCCCCAATCCTTTCAAGGATTTCAAACGGACCAATGTATCGGGGGTTGAGTTTTCCCCTCGATAAAAATCGGATGATACCCTTCCAAGGAGAAATTCTTAGGAAGACCTTATCACCGACCTCGAACTCCAATGGCCTGCGTCGTTTGTCGGCATAGCTCTTCTGCCGATCTTGGGCAGTCTTGAGTCTATCCTGAATGACTTTCACTTTAGTCTTGGTGATTTCAACAAGTTCAATCCCCTCGAGCTTGGCCTCGCCAACCTCGTCCCAACACAACGGTGTTCTGCACTTCCTCCCATACAATGCCTCGTATGGAGGCATGCCAATACTTGCCTGATAACTGTTGTTATAGGCAAACTCCACTAGGGCCAAATGTTTGTCCCAACTTCCTTGGAACTCCAAAGCACATGCCCTAAGCATGTCTTCCAGAATCTGTATCACCCGCTCGGACTGTCCATCCGTCTGTGGGTGAAAAGTTGTGCTAAACTTCAGTTTAGTCCCCAGAGATGCTTGAAACTTTGGCCAAAATCGGGATGTGAATCGTGGATCCCTATCCGAGACAATGGATATTGGGACTCCATGTAATCTCACAATCTCCTCCGTGTATAGCTTCGCCAACCTTTCAAGAGGGTAAGTGATGTTAATAGGCAAAAAGTGAGCACTCTTGGTGAGCCTATCAACTACTACCCATACCGCATCATAGTTGTTCACGGTCCGTGGCAACCCCACCACGAAATCCATAGTCACATGCTCCCACTTCCATTCTGGAATGGAAAGTGGCTGTAATAACCCAGCTGGATGCTGATGCTCTGCCTTGACTTGCTGACAAGTAAGGCACCGACTGATGTACTCGGCTATCTCTCTCTTCATACCGGACCACCAGTAACTTTCTTTCAAATCGCGATACATCTTCGTGCCCCCCGGGTGCATGGCATAAGCCGATGAATGAGCTTCCTCTAAGATGGACTTTCGGAGCTCATCATCCGCCGGCACACACACTCGGTCACGAAATAGTAAAAGACCGTCGTCTCTTTCTCTGAAGTCCTCCACCGGTCCCGCTTGCAAGCGTTCCCTGATCTTCACAATTTCATCGTCAGTTTCCTGACCCTTCTTGATCTCATCAAGCAAAGTAGGTCTCACCTCAAACCGTGCCAATAAGGCACCATTACTGGACACCTCCAGTTGGGCTCTTAATGCCCTCAAATTAGCTATCAATGCCCCAGTTGAGCTCTTCCGGCTCAAAGCATCTGCCACTACATTTGCCTTGCCTGGATGGTACTCAATCACTAGGTGGTAGTCCTTTATCAACTCCATCCACCGTCTCTGCCTCATGTTTAACTCTTTCTGAGTAAACACGTACTTCAAGCTCTTATGGTCAGTGTATATGTGACATGTCTCTCCGTAGAGATAATGTCTCCAAATCTTCAGTGCGAACACCACTGCTCCCAACTCTAGATCATGGGTGGGGTAATTTACCTCATGCTTCTTCAACTGTCGTGAAGCATAGGCAATTACCCTCCCCTCCTGCATTAACACACATCCAAGCCCTTGGATGCTCGCGTCACTATAGACATCGTACCCCATACCCTGTTTGGGTAATGCAAGTACCGGTGCCTCGGTTAATCTCTTCTTCAGTTCAGTGAATCCTTTCTCACACTTGTCATCCCATACAAACTTAGCTCCTTTTCGAGTGAGCTTTGTCAACGGTGATGCCAAAACAGAGAACTTTTCCACGAACTTTCTATAGTATCCTGCCAATCCAAGGAAACTACGAATTTCCTTGACGTTCCTTGGCCTCTCCCATTCGGTGATGGCTTCTATCTTCTTGTTGTCGACAGCAATTCCCGATCCCGAAACCACGTGCCCGAGAAAGCCAATCTCCTTAAGCCAAAATTCACATTTAGAAAATTTGGCATAGAGTTGCTTCTCCCGTAGTGTCTCAAGAACGAGTATCAAGTGCTCCTCATGCTCTTCCTCACTCTTTGAGTAGATCAAGATGTCATCAATGAACACAATCACGAATCGGTCCAAGTATTTGTGAAATACTCGGTTCATCAAGTCCATGAATGCCGCCGGGGCGTTTGTTAACCCAAACGACATAACAAGGAACTCAAAATGCCCATACCTCGTGCGGAAAGCACTCTTCGGTATGTCATCCTCCTTAATCTTCAGTTGATGGTACCCCGACCTCAAGTCAATCTTTGAAAACACGGTTGCTCCTCGTAGTTGATCAAACAAGTCATCAATCCTAGGCAAGGGATACCTATTCTTGATTGTGACCTTGTTCAGTTGACGATAGTCAATGCACATTCGAAGTGTTCCATCCTTCTTTTTCACAAAAAGGACCGGTGCTCCCCATGGGGAGTGGCTTGGTCTGATGAAACCGTTATCCAAAAGCTCTTGCAATTGGGTTTTTAACTCGTTAAGTTCAGCGGGTGCCATACGGTATGGCGGTATGGAGATTGGTTTGGTGCCGGGCTCGACCTCGATCACGAACTCAATCTCCCTATCGGGTGGAAGTCCCGGTAAGTCTTTAGGAAAGACGTCCGGATACTTGCATACTACCCTAACTTCATCAATGCTCGTCTCTTCTTTGGTTTTGTCCACCACATATGCTAGATATGCATGACACCCCTTCCTCATCATATTCTTAGCCCTCACAGCGGATATGATACAACTATTGGATTTTGCCCTATCCCCCTCGAAGCGTAAGGTTACCCCTTCATTGCCTTCGAGTTCAAGTACCTTCGTGTAACAATCGACCCTAGCATGATGCTTCTCAAGCCAATCCATACCCAGGATTGCATCGAACTCAATCATACTCAGCGGCACGAAATCACACGACAAGTTTTGGCCCTCCACTTCCACCTCACACGATGGATAGTGGCTATCTCTCTCGATGTCTTCCCCTAGGTGTGTTTTTACCAATAGGGCTTGAGCCATCGGTATCAGGGGTACGTTGAACCCCCCGGCGAATGCCTCACTCACAAATGATCGTTGCGCCCCAGTATCGATGAGGATTCTCGCACATCTCCCATTAATCTTTAATGTTCCTACATCCATACACCATGTAAGATACATTTTCTAATGTTTTTACACATCATTAAGATGTTATTATGTTCATACTAATGTTTGGGATCAAACGGGGGTCCAAACGTAGAAGAACGGGGCGAAAAAATAAAGTTTCAGGTGCCAGGGGTCCACGCACGGCGTGCGTAGGGGGTACGCACGGTCGTGCGTACCTTGTTTTACCAATGGAGGCTACTGCCCCCAACGCACGGAGGGACGCACGGGCAACGCACGGCCGGGCGTGCAGCGAATTACCTCCGGGGTGCTACTGCCACCAACGCACGGAGGTACGCACGGACAACGCACGGCCGTGCGTGCAGCCCAGCCTGTAGTGCGTTGGCAGAAATCAGCCCGATTTCGCCCAATTTCGCCCAATTTCGCTCCGTTTGGTCCCGGGGTGGCCCGAACTCAACCCCCAACGGTGTATATGATCGAACTAAGCCTAGAAATACATGGGAATACGTGTATTACCTGCAACGGAGTCCGGGTTTGCTCGCGCATCCGCCTCGGTCATCGCGTAGACTCTCGCTTGAGCCCTTCCTTGGTTCACGGAGGGTGCGTTGCTTGTACTTGCCCCGCCGTGGTTTGTGCCTGCATTGGGTGCCCCACCCCGGTTTCTACTCACCATGGTTGCACTGCTTGGCCCTGATGACCGGTTCCCACCAAGTTGAGGGCAATTGGGCTTTATGTGCCCCGTATCTCCGCATTGGTAGCACCGTGGGGGATCACGACATTTGCCCTCGTGATTTCTCTTGCAATTCCTGCACTTAGGCTTCGTCGGGGCTTGTGATCCCGAGTTCTGCCCACTCATGTTGGGATTCCCCCTTGATGGTGGTGCGGGTGCCCTGAAGGATCCTCCTCCCCCGTGATTCCCCTTCTTGTTTGAACCCTGGGGGCCATGGTTCTCCCATTTTCTTTTCTTTGCCTCCTCGGCATTTCTTCGCTTCCTTTCCTCCCATTCCTTCTCCCCCTTCAAGCCTTGTTCGACCACTTGGCTAAACGTCATATTAGGCAATTGTGTTGCCCTCTCACGTATATCAAGGTCCAAGGCGTTCCAGAAGTGGTTCACCATCCGGTTCTCATCACAAATGTATTCCGGTATGAACTCAGCAAGTTTTCTGAACTTGTGCTCAAGCTCCTTCACTGTGCACTCACCTCCTTGGGTTAAGGTTGTGTACTCCCTCCTCTTTAAATTCACTTCAAAGTCGGAGTAGTATTGGCTAAAGAATTCTTGTCGGAAATTCTCCCAGGTGACGGCCTCGCCGTACTTCCCTTTAGCTCCGTCCCACCATGTGGACGCCATGCCTTCTAGTAGTCTTGTGGCCACTCTCAACTTCATGTTCGGTGGCAGCTGCATATCCAGGGCCGCTTCATTGAATCTCTTGATCCACTCGGCCGCCACGGAGATGTCTCCCGTTCCATCAAACGGTTTACATCCCAAGTCTCTCGCCTCCTTTAGGTACTTCGAGATTCTTATGATAGGAACCTCGGCACCTCGCCCTCCTTGGGGTTCTATGCTTCCCCTAGGACTCACACGGCTCCCTCTCCTCGAAGCCCCCCTCGAAGCACGCCTTGCCCGGCGCCTTTGGCGATCTTGATGATATTGCCGGAGCAATTCCTCAATCCTTTCTAGAGCGTCGTTATCGTCGCTCCCCTCGCTAATGTCATCATCTTCCCCATCATATGGGGTTTCAACCGGCTCCGTTCCCGGTCGGTACGTTGAATCCTCCTCGGACTCATAATGCTCGTCAATTGTTTCAACATGACCGTCACTAACGGTCAGCGAGTGGCCTGCACGGCCCTGCCCCCGAGACACCCTTGATGCCCCTCGACTGCCATGTTGGGACCTTCCCGGCGCCTGGCCAGTCGGGTTTCGTCGGGTGACTTTACCGGTGCGTTCCATTTCTGAAAGAGATAGAGAAGGAGTCATTAGACCCGTATCAAATGTCAAGTGACGGATAGGCACTTAAAGACATCTTTTGGCTCAAATCACCGTCATACCAATTGTTAAGGGTACCATCTTAACAATTAGAGACTTTGCAACTCAAGTACCAAAAGTTCTATAAGTGCAAAACTTTTATGCTCATGGTTTTCAAAATCATTTTCAAAAGGGATTTTGAAGCTTCATTATGAAGTTTACGGACTAAGGCTCTGATACCAATTAAATTGTCACGCCCCGGACCTTCCCGGACACGTCAACAACCCGCCGTACAGTACGAATAGTCAACCGCAGTCCAACTCATCCATACTATACAAGGCGTCTTGAATACCATTCACATTAGTACATCCATAAACAATCACAATGTAAATCATTTAATTAAGCAGCGGAAATCGCTGTCTCGGCTGTAGTGGGGTCACCGACGATTCGACCAGGACATGGTAACAGCTGTGGAAATATACCCAAGGAGCTCAGTTTCACGTGGGCTGATGTTTTAAAATCCAACAAAAAAATAAAACCCTCTGTCACTCCTGGTACCAACTCGGCAGAGTCCTCCTCAGCCATAAATTCAAATCCGCTCAACAATGACATGCCAGCTACTTGCTCCGTCACGAAATTTAACAGAACAGAAGATATTCGGGTTGAGTCAGCTTTGGGCGAACCGGGCTGTGAAAATTTCATGTTCTTTGGACAAGAAGGATTTGACTCAATCAAAATTGAGTCAAAAGTTTTTAAATTTGCGGTCAAAAATGGTGAAGTGGTTATTTTTGAAGTCAAAAAATCTCAGCTACACAAGATTCAATTCAAAATTGACCTTGTTCCTCAAATCATTCGCTTTATGTCTCAACTCACAAGTTCTGCATCAAAATTGGCACGGAGTAAACGATTTGGAGATATTACAGTTTCTTTGGAAACTAACAGATCAGGCGACTATGTGAAATTAGCTAAAAATCATGGGAGCTCCGCTCAAATTCCGGTGGGACCGAAAAAATCGAGCTTGTTTAAATTCATCAATATTTTTTCTAATTTTGCAGGGCCACCAGAGTCTGTGCAGGACGACTCAATCTCTTTGCAATACAGGAGCACCTATGAAATCGAGGACAACACATCGATCTCTAAACTGATTCTAAATTATCAAATCCAAGCGGCTAGTATCGAGAATCAACTGGTTTTCACTCCCATGAAACAACTACCACGGATCGAGGCTTACTCAGATGCCTCAGATGGTTTTGACCATTCTGATGACTCTTTCTTTAGAGATGACTTTCTTGGACACGCAACTGAAAGCGATCGTCGTCTTCCGATCTCCTACCCGGAAGAAATTAGAAATTCCAAACTCAACAGGGCTATTTGCCGCAAAGCAAAATTCGTCACATCGGAAAATTGTCTGCCAACAGACAACTTAAACACACAACTCAAAATTTACAGAAAAACGCAAAAGAACAAAAGGCGTCACAGCATGACGACTAGATCACAATCCAGAGATTTTCCTTGGGACTAGTTTTATGTTTTCCTTTATTTTACTTTTTCTCTGTACTGCTTTTCTTTTTATTCTCGCATTGTACTGTTTTTCTCTTATCAATAAAATGCATTTTTTCTTTAAAAAAAAAAAAAAAAAAAAAAAAAAAAAAAAAAAAATTAAGCAGCGGAAATATTAATACAAGCATTCGAGCCACACGTGGCAAACACGGGCGTGCAAGCCCTAAATAATTATTCGGAAAATAGTATCCATGAGCATTAATTTGAATGTTTTAAAACAGAAACGGAGGAAGCACGAACCACGTCTCCTCTCCTTGATAATCCGCCCGAAGCAACGGTGATGGTAGCACCCTTCAAGTTCTACCTGAAACTGTGAGGTGGCCTCCCCCGTGAAGGGGAGGTCAGTACTTGGAAGCATTTGACAAGTACAATGACAACTATACTAAGTATAATCAAAGTTTCAATTTCCAAGACCCTCAATCTAGGATGTTATTATATTATAGGTCATAACCCGTGGTTACCCTCTTTTGAAAGTATACTTACTTTATATATATAGTCAAGTAATCGCCCGAAGGCCCATGTTTACTTTGGAAACATTTAACCCCTTCCCCGTGACTTCAAGCCACACCCATCTATATTAGTTTACCATGCTAGAGGCTTCCTCTAGTCATGTTTTGTCGTGCTAGAGGCTGACTCTAGTCACTCCACTTGGTGTTAGAGGCTTCCTCTAATCACCTTACATACGTTGTGCTGGAGGCTTCCTCCAGTCACATTACGTTACGCTAGAGGCTTCCTCTAGTCGTCCTACACGAATGCTGGAGGCTTCCTCCAGTCATTCTTCATCGTGCTCGAGGCTTCCTCTAGTCACGATACTAATTCACTAAGCAATCTCTATGCCTAGAGTTCCTCTACTATGGGTAACCTTCATGATCCACTCCTACGGTAACTTAGCGTTTACTCATTTCTACCTTAAGACATTTCATATGACTACTTAAGGTACATCATTCACAATCCAAACCCCTAGGATTTGTTCTATCACTTTTCATGCTAACATCCCCGGCTAGTATTTCTATACTAGTCATTTAACCTTAATAAGCCAATGCAATTTCATAGTAATTTGGCTATTTCAATTTAATTCCACATTCAAGTATAACTTGGTTCTAATATCAAAATATCACTTTTATCCTTCCATGACTTCCTTACATGAGGTAAAAGTATATTTATCACAATTCATTTATAGTTTGCACGCTATTATACCATTGTATTCATAATACATAATCATACACAATTTATTCATAAATTTGTATATTATGCACTTTTACTCATAAACAATAATAATCTCATTTAGGCATTTTGTTATATTATAAATAAATCATGCCAAACACATATAATTCATTTAGGTAATCTTATGAAATTAACCCAATAATTATAAGCAATATAGTCGGTCATCCTCACCTTAAGTGAGCTTAAGCGTGTTCTACGCTCCGCGGTTGAACTTTGACTATTTCCGGTGAACTTTGACCAACTCCGGCCAACTTTGACCAACTCCGGCGAAACTCCGGCGAAGCTCAAAGATACTCTAAATCAAGTTCCTAACAAGGTTTTAACATCATAAAACCTTAATCAATACACATAACCCTTAAAAGGTTATTTTCCGGTGAACTTGTCGGTTTGGTCTCTATGTCCGTTTTTTGGGCATAGAACCACTCTCCAACCCATTATTCTACACCCTTAGCATGTAGAACAACCTCAAGGGTGCTCCATATGATATGTATCTCATATGATAGAAGGAAAAAAAAAGGAGAAGTTATGATAGGGTCATTACCTTAACTTTCACACCTTTAGCTAGTTTTTTCCTCCTTTAACTTCCTATCAACTTTCTTGTTTGAGCTTGGCTTGAGTTTGGCTATGAAAGATGAAGTTGCAGAGCTTCTTTCCTCCTTTTCCTTAGTGTTGGCCGAATGAGTGAGGAGGGGGAGGAGTAGGAATGCTCATTTGTCTCAATTGAGTAATGAGTGAAGGAAAGGAGGGCCACCATGATTTGTTTTGATGCCAAACATCTCAAATCAGCTCTCTCTCCCACCTCCCTCTCATATCAGCCGACCCATGCCTTGAAAAATGTGGCTAAATTCGTGGGTTGTCCCCCACCCATGTGGGAGGTCAACCCTTTTTGTCCCGAAGTGTACATTTTGTCCCGAAAGTTGTATTTTTCGGACAGTTTTAAATATATTTTATTTTATCGGGTCAAATAAGATATATTACATGTTCCCAATCATTATGACCCTTAAAATGAATATACATTTCCCAACTTAAATTTATAGGTCTCCGAAATCCAATTTCGGGCTTTTATCGGTTAGATTGCCAATACCGGTATTTGGGCCTCTTTTGACCAATCGGTCAACTCAAGACCTTTCCATGGTTCAAAAGAATTATCCACCCCCATATAAATATTATCTAGACCAAGATGAATAATTTATGTGGTCCCGGGAATATCGGGCGGCCCCCGCTCCCGGTGCGGGCCCCACGCGCGAACTTACTATTCGCGCAAAAATTAATAAAAATTCATAACCTCGTAAATCCGTCAACCATTCCATAAGGTCAAAATACAATATTCACTTTAAAAGTAAATACATTTGGGGACGGTGTTACAGTAGAAATCCTATTTACCCAGTCTCCTCCATCCCTCGACCCCGGGTAAAAAAAACAGATAAGTGGGACTTTCACGTATGTATACCGAAAATATGGCAAATTAGAGTATGAGTTTACGGGAAACATAAAGTCTGAGGCATGACTTTTTAGAGTATGAATATACCGTTTTTAAAATTTAATTATAATCATGTGAAAATTCAGAAGTCAATTACTCGTACTTCTTTTTAATTTCTAGTGCAATGTTCCCAATAAGTGTTAAATTTGAATTTAAATTTTTTCATCTGATAAACTTTTATTTTATTTTCTAAATATATAAGCTTTAGTTATATAAACAATACTCCGTAGTTTACTTGTTAATATGACAAAATGAACTTTACACTACACATAGTCAAATATCTTAAACTGTTTGAGACAGTTAATTAATAAAGAATAGGGTAGTATATTTTTGTATACACTCATATGAGATATACAAAGTATTTATTGCTACACAAAATTTCAGGACTCAATTCAAATTTTAGAAGGTAGATTTTCTAATGAGTGGGGCTTAAGATACATTTACTCTAAACAATTTTAAAGAGATGGCTGGATATAGTGATATACTATTGATTTACATGCAAATAAATTGCCAAGAAGGTGATCTCGTTGATTTTCACCTATTTATTATTTAGAATAGAGAGTAGTTATCTGAGAGAGGCGTTATCTAAAAATGGTCCATCTAACTTTGGTGGAGTCACAGAAAAAAAACTTTAGTGGAGTCAATGGTAAGAAAATTGTATGTGACTCGTCATTGCTGGGTTGCCTATAATATACAAGAATATACAAGAAAATTGTATGTGACTCGTCATTGCTGGGTTGCCTATAATCTGAGAGAGTTTTTTTTACGGTATAGAATTTGTTCAAACATGGGGTTATAGAATTGTGGTTTAACCTTTCTAGATATGTGTTGCATTTAATTATATTTTCACCGAAATCCATGAATGAAGTTGATTTGAACATTTGATGGCATTGCAAGCATGAGTGCTATCATTCAATGTATAATTATAGATAGTGTAGTTTTTGGTTTTTACAAGTAGGAAAAAGTAGTCAATATTAGATTTGCACGGAAAAGAAACTAATTAAGAAACTGTTGTCAGCCATTTTGGTCATTTGGCTCATGGCTATGTCTTACATATTGTTGGAGTTCTAACAATGACTTTCATTTAGGTGCGCCAAGAGCTCATCTCACGCAAATCAATGGATATCTCTGTGGTTTCTCTAATGGTACTGACATTACATGATATTGACATATTTTCTTCCATCATTTGCAATGGAGCAAAAAACTCACTATTTTTGGGTTTGGGAATATGATGAAATAAAAAAAGTGGCCCATTAAACTGTTTATGTTTCTTTGTTGTGAAGCAACCGTTAGTCCATGCAATCTTCGCCGCAATTTTGAATTTTCACCATGGGTGAAAACAATCTCTCTGTGCTTTAGTAAGGTTGCGTATATCGACCCCCTTTACCTCATCGTAGGTGGAACTGTGGAAGCCTTTGCAGTAATAAAGGTAATGATGATGATTATATATTTCATCATATCCGCAATGTTGTATAAAGCACCAGAGGAGTGATGTAAATGGATTTAGGATGGACCTGAGTGGGAAATGTGCATCCGACTATTATAGTCTCTTAGAGCATCTCCAATGCTACAATGTGCACGGTGCACATGTGGCATGAGAGATATAGACACAAAATATTGATTTTATGACATTTCTCTCTCCTTCTTTCCACGGTCTTATGTGTTTTTGGTAAGTTTTTGTCTGCAATGTCAACCACAATGTCTACATCTAGACATTGTTCTTGACATTGTGAAGAAAAACTTACCAAAATGATATTCTTAGTTGCTCGTTTCAAAGCTTTTCATGCCATGTATGCATCGTTTCTATTTATTGTTTTTTAATTGGTTATTTCTCATGCCACGTATGCACCGTTAACGTTTTAGCATTGAATATGCTCTTAGTTGCTCGTTTCAAAGCTTTTCATTTTTGCTGAAGATTTTTATAGTAGAAAAAATTCATGCACAAAATAAGCAAGAGTCAAGCGAAGGCTACCAAACAAAGCCTTGATTCTCAGAGAAGTACAACATTTGCCAAACATTTCATCTATTTTTAACTTTCTACTCTGATTTGGTTCCTCATTACAGGTTATTGATTGACCAGATTATGAGGATGGCAGTATTACTGCAATTGAAACAATTAAGCAGTTCATTTTTAGGAGGTCACTAACAATCGTTTTCAGCGATTCCTCAAACAATCCTTACCTTTTAGTTCTACGGAAACTTTTTCCGGACTCATTCGGCAAAATACCCTGGTTGCATGAAATACAAATTTTCCCATATTGATAAATATTGTCAATCGAATTGCTTTGACCAAACAAGAGTAATTATAATGTAATGTAATTATTAAAAAAGCGCTATGAAAATGGTATTTTTTTTCTCTAAATGTTGGCCTTGATATCCATGTAATACTCCGCAATCCATTTGTGAAGAATTTCAATCTCTTTCTCTCTTTGGTTGATGAGCCAGTCCGGGTCATCCTTAGTAGCTTGCCTAAAATCAGCATGATGTGCTCCTATACTATCACAAATTACTAGTTTACAAAAACCATTTATGATTAAAACAGTAGTAATCACTTATTTAATCAAGCAAAACTGGTGGCATACCTTTCTCAGTCACCAGAGCCACAATGCTATCCGATATGTTTTTCAGAACACTATCACATAAAACCCAAAAAATGTTATAGTATAAATAGACGTAAAGTCCATTCAATTAAAAAGATAATCAATCTCTTCTCGATCTCAATATAAGATATACTATATTAAAATATACAGTATTCCCTATGCTTGGTTGGGACTTGGGGGGTTTGGACACTGGGCAAATTAATAGGATACGAGTAGTCGAGTACTGGACCGGAATCGGACTATATAGTTTAGGAGCCGAAAAGGCGAAAATATAACCGGTTCCTCTAAAACAGGACCAAGTCACCAAACGTGTAAATTTATAAATAAAAAAAAGTACAAAGATGGCACAACTCATATTGGAACAATTGAAACCAAAACAGTTCTGGAACAATTGAAACCAAAACAGTTCTGGAACGGGCTGATCGAGGAACGATTTGTTTAGTTGTGTCTACCCTTACACTAGAGTCTACAAAATAAATCTTTTCTTGAGTTTATTATTATTCATGATCTATTTAGCCGTTGTATGAAATAGTGACATATATTACTAAAATTAAAAGGATGGATAAGTTTGTGACCTTCTTTGTAGTGACTACTTTATTACTGAGTAAATTTTAGTTACTATAAATATATTAGATATAAAAGTATAAAACTATAGTGATCGTGATGTTACACTATTAATAACTTCACATTTTAGGAAAAACCTCTTGTCAATATGTTGTTTGTCAAACACCACAACGATATATTAAGTGCCAATTTTGGAATACTCAAATTGGCTAAATCGATTAAATCCGTCGAAATTTGTGAAATGTTGAATTGGCTACAACAGCTGAATGTGCTGGATTTTATTACTAAAATAGAGAAGAATTAAATGAAAAGTAGGTTAAAAGTTTTTTCAAAAAGTTTATTCATTTTAGCCACAAAAATAATGCTAACCTCATTTTTTTTATTGCAAAATTCAACGTGCGAAATTAAAAGTTACATGTAAGAAAAATCTTTTGATAAACCGAAAATAGTGGTTACTAAACGTGCTCTAATCATGTCGAAGCAATAAATTGAAATAAAAGTTCAAATATACCAAAGAACTCCCTAATACTCTAAATCACTTGTTTGTGCTTTTGTCTAATGTGGTCTTTAATGTGTTCAGATGATAATTTTAGAAGAATATGTATAAATTTATTGGATTGTATCATTAGTTGCATTTAAAAAAGGGGAAACTGTCAAATAGGTCCTCGAACTTTCATAAAAAGGTCAATTAAGTCCTTCTATAAGGGGTTCTGTCCGGCCGTCGCGATTTAGGGAAGTTCCCGGTGGAATTTTTTGATGAAATTTTTTGAACATCTTATTCACCAAGTCTAGTTTACTCATACAAAATTTCAGCTAAAAATTCAATCGGGAACACATTCAAATTAATTCTTGAAGATAACTGCGCATTTTTGTGTTCTCAAATTAATTTGAATGTGCTCCCGATTAAATTTTTAGCTGAAATTTGGTATGAGTAAACTAGACTTGATGAGTAAGATGCTCAAAAAATTTCATCAAAAAATTCCATCGGGAACCGCCCCAAATCGCGACGACCGGACAGAGTCTCCTATAGAAGGACTTAATTGACTTTTTTATGAAAGTTCGAGGACCTATT